TCTATGAGGAAGACAAACGGGTGATGAGATTCAGTATTTCTTTGCTGTGATCCTGCCTGTTTACAAAGAATGTGCAAACAGAATGTAGTAGGAATGAAAAACTTGAGAGGCTCTTTGTTCAGAGTTCCCAGCCTCTGTTCAGACAGCATTCTGCCCCAAAAGCTCCACCTCTGCTTTTTGTAAGGGCCCAGTTTCTAGTGCTTTTCATGCTGTTTGCTTGGTGTTTTGGGCCATGTTTCTAGTGCTTCCTGGTTTATCTGTTTGGCGTTTTGTTGTTTCTCTGGTTGGTTCTGACCACTTATACATATATTTCCATCAAGCAATGAACCCTGCCTTTCTAAGCCCAAAGACACCCCTCCACCCAATGCCCTAGTTTCTGATCAGAATAACATTTGGTCTCTTTAGGAGACCACCTCTTATTGCTTAGACAAGTGGAGGTCAAACTTTTTAAACAGGCATGCCACAAATTAACCTCTGTCTTCCCAAGGTCCACACCAATCCCCTGCTCCCGCCCAATCTGCTTTCTGCTTCCTGTCCTATTTGCCATAGTGCTGCCCATGCTCTCTGGGCTGTGTGCCACACACAGGCTGCCAGTTCCACTTATGGTCCATGTACCATGTATTTGTCACCCTGATTAGACTATCTTACTATGAAAGAGAAACTTAAAACTTTCCTACATTTATACTGAATGAAGGGGTTTTATTATACATGCCAATTCAATGAGGTTTCACCCCGCCTATATCGTAACAGCAACAATATGTATTGCAGGCTCAGCCATTGTATAATTCTGATGAGGGCCTATGGTTTGATTTCCTTTCTAGTTTTGGTTCTAGGCTTTTTTTCCCCCCCACTTCTGAGGCCACAAGAGTGTGTTCATACCCTTGAAAATATGAAACTTCCACTGTGCTGGAGCATGAATTTGATATAATATAGCTTCATTCTCTCTGAGTGCTTAATCATGAAGGTGTTAAGTACCTACTGCTCACATTAAAATCTATGGACCAGATCTGGTAGCCAATATAAAAGGCATAGCCCCATTTATTGGAATTGAGGATTTTCCATGTGAGAGTTGAATGTGTTCAATGCCCCTGTGGAGTTGTAGAGAATCACATAGTCTAGGCATTAGAAATATCCTGTACGTTGTACATGCCCCTGTAAAAATAGACATTCACTGAGCTGAAGGCATGTTTTGTGTTTTCATAGCATAACCTTTACCCTCTCTCGGGGGGAAAAAATACCTTATTCCTATGCAGCATTTCCAATGCATGAAGAGCTCAATTTATTAGGCAAAACATAATGAACCAACATAAGAGAAAAATACTGATGTAAATTAACAAGCACGCAGCTCTGACATCTTATTTTTTCCCCCCCAACAGTAAACTCTACGAAGTAAAATTATTATATATGAGAATAAACCAAAAATGATTTTATAGTATGAAAATAGTGATCCAGAAATACTGTGCAAGATCATTTCATAACTAGGTTTCTAGGTATCATATTTACGAGTAACATTATAAAATTTGGGGGGGAGAAATAAATCTCACAATAGTTTGAGAAGTGTAGTTGTTTCCGTGTAACAGGATAAATCTTAATTCCAACATAAAACTGCACCCTGTGCAAGAAGCACAAGAGCAACATATTCCAAAGTTAAAACTGAAAATATGCTAGATGATTTCAGGTGTCACTCTTCATCTGTGAACATACATCACTCATTAAAATGTATAGAATGGCCTACTGAGGTCCCTTCTGACCCTAACATCTATGAATCTACAAGAAACTTTGTACTTTAAGATACAACACAGAAAGCAAGCTATTATGCAGCTTTTATACATGTATAAAATCTCGATGACTGACAAACACTGTCCAAATTCAGTTGCTTAAACCTACCAAGATAAAGAGACTTTGCATTTTGTACAGAAACCAAACAATAACAACTCTCTCTTGACAAGAAAACTCTCTCTGGTAAGTGGGGTTACCTGAGGGTTGGTAAAATGGTATTTTACCCTTAGTTAAGGGTAAAAAGGTTAAATGTGACTAGTGGGACTAGACTGATCTTTGACACTAAAGGCAGAAGGTGGTGTATTTGGAAGGAATTGCGTACCACCTCCATCAGCTCTTGGGAATAAATAACTTCTGTTTCCAGTAAGAGAATTCTGGTTTTGTGAAGAGTGGTGGGTTTATGTTCCCAGAGGCAAAACTCATATTCTTATTTATGGAAGAGGCACAGCATGGGCAGTGGCAGCAAAACAAGTTTATACATGCACTTGACCTGAAAAGGCTCCATTGGGAGTAGATGGATATTTTAGGCTTTGTACCTATTCATCGCCCAGACCTGGCTTGTTCAATAGAACGTTATTTGTGCCTCTACACAGTGACACATTGAAGCCATCAGGGATCAAACTGGTAGACCCCTCCTCCCCCACTCTCCTCATATACCCTGGACACCAGTGAGCACCCTTTGATGAGTCTCATTCCCTGCCAAACTGGTCTATATATTTAATAGGCAACAGAGCTGAAATTTTTCTAACTGGGATTCACATTTTGCTGAACTCTATCTAACAAGCACAGATAGATCATAAACAGGTACCAAAGTATGTGTACACAAGTACGCTCATAAAGAATATAAATAAAAAAAATCATTTAACAACATAAGTTAATTGACTGAAGGAATCCTACACTTGAGTATTTAAAAAAAATACATAGCAATGTTATAGCACTCAATGCATTGACATTTGCAAACAGTTATCAACCCAACTATCTGTTCTCAAAGAAATGATAGATTGGTAATTAAGGTTTTCTTCGGTTTTCCAACAAAGAAACTAATTGAGAACTTAGACACTTCAAGTCTGGGATCTTTGCCATGTACTCTAGGGAAGATGGGCTAAGACACAAATTGAATAGTCCCAGGCAGTGGGTAAGGGCTAGAGTCAGCCCAGGTGACTGGCATTCAACCTAAGCTACTTTAGGTGTGAGCAGCCACATTGCAAAGCTGTGCTCACTTTACTGTGTTATCACTGGTACCTCATTCATTTGGTGTACCTGGTTCACACTAGCCTGGTGTGCTAGGACATTTCTTTATGAGCCAGTAAAGCAATTCTTTGCCAGTGTCTTCCTGTTGGGGGATTGTGGGAAGGCACTGGAGGACTATCAGCACTCAAGTGTTTTAGCCTGCAAAGGGCTCTATCCTGCATTCCCAGTCATGTGAGCTTAACCCATGTTGACAGAACCACTTCACTCAGGTGAAGTTTTTGTGCATGGTGTGGAGATTTCAAGGCAACTGCCCAATAAGAGGCAGAGCTAATTCCACAATAAAGACTACCCAAGTGGGTGAAGCGGAATAAGAATATGGGTTTCCATCATGCAGTCTTCTGTTCTAACGGTGAAGAAATTGCCTCAAGGAAGAAAGTGCTTCTCTTACTGTTGGGGCTGCATCTTTTTTGCAGTTCACAACAAGCAGGACTTAGTAACTGTTAACATTTATTATTTTGCTTCTGCCAGAAGATAGTATGGGAGAGAGAGTTGGATGATGCACTTGTTTTTAAGTGTCCTTGTAAAGATGCAGGTTCTGAAATGAAAGCGAGTAGGTAATTGCATTAACGGCTTGGTCCTTTTTTGTCTGCCTCTCTAGGAGCTGAACTTCTCCCTCCAGAATTTAGCAGACACCAGTTTTATCAAGTGACCTAACACTAACCAGGAGAAGTCTCATTTTTAGTCCCTGAGGAATAAAATGAAATATACACTGAGTGCTCTCCCTTCCCCCTCCACATTTTTAGGACTTTTCATTTTAACTCAATAAGCTTTGAACTCATCAGAGCAGTAAAGTTAGCTTCCTGCTTGGTTTGTTTTGGCTTTCATAATACTATTAAGAGAAGGAAGATGAAAAAGTATTGTAGGGTTAGAGGGTTAGCCTTGTCAGGCTTTGAACTTTGCACTTCCCATCCTCTCAGTTTTACCAACTATTCTGTTAATTTACTGGAGTATTAATAAATTATACAATTTCTCTTACACAAAGACAGCAGGATTATTGAAATGAATCTGTGCAGCAAAACTTCCTCCTAGATACAATGAAAATCCGTAGTTGTCAACTTATCATCTCTCTCAAAAGCTTACATGTTAAAATAATAATGGAAAGCATCTTAATTCATGTTATAGCTGGTAATGGTTTTAATATATACTTATAGGCAAGTCCCTCTCTTTATGGGGTCTTGTAATTAGTTTTAAAAGAAGCAGAATTTAGCTACAGGGTAATGCCAGTTGTATAATGTAATTTAAATAAAAAAGATCTTTGCAATTTAAGAAATATAAAGCTTTTTTTTTTTTTATATATACTTAAGTCATAAAATATGGCTTTTAGGGAAATGATCCCACCAAGATGTGCACACCAACTTAATTTTATGATTTTCTGCAATGCAGAGCTAACTTGGCACACTGAGAGAGCCTATTATTTTAACATACAGCTGTCTTGTTACACCTAAATAAAGCAATACCACAAAGACGTTGAATTTGAAATGTTAGAAGGAATTTTAGACAAGGGAGTAATTAAGAAAATCCAAAACAAGCTGATTGAACACAACTGTGACAGAAAAGTCCATATCACTCTGATTGATGTTATCAGAATGAGAAAGTGTGAATTACAGTGATTTGCCTGCAGTAATTCGTACATTGCTTTGCAAAGTAACTGCATTCCAAAAACATGGAGATCATCTTTTCGCTGGACCTTGCCACATCCGTGTGAGAAACTTATCCTTCCTTTCATTGACACAGTATTAGATCTTCCCCCAGATAAAAGCATTGCTAAATCAATGCTGAAATCTTCCACAATTCACACCTAATGGGTTAGATTAATTCTTGGAGAAATAATATTACGGACTCCAAGGGACTTTTATCAAGGATCTGTCTGATCCAGCGGGTTTTAGAGAACGTTAATATTTGCAGAAGTAACATTTAAATCTCGAGAGTTGTATGCAATCATTCAGTCAATAAGTAAAATAAAAACTTACCCACCAGCTTCAGTTTTAGCTGAGAGATCATGCCTGCAAGCAGCTAGGTAAGTAGCAGATTTCACATAGATTCTTCTCTGTGACAGTCCACATATTTCTCCAATTTTTCTCTGCTGAAGTTGTGTTTATTCCCATCTGGAAAAACCTGCCTGCTCTAGCCTTTTACCGATTGTCAGTCATCCTCAGCATGCGAGGCTGCCAGCACTTATCTCTCTTCCTTTGTTAGGAGAGAGAAAAAACTGCTGAATGTTGCAGCCATCATGTCTTAAGGAAACAGGACACAAGAATGGGCCCAATGTCTGTGCAGGATCTGTGGGCAGGGGGAATAGTTGGGGGGTCTCAATAGGAAATGCTTTTCATTGGGTAAGGAGGTATTATTAGTAGCTGTGATCCCGCCCAGTCCCTCTCTTCATCGCCCCCTTAGTCACCAATCCTTAGGCTGGTTATACTTTTCCTTTAACAGCCCAGGAAAAGCAGCTTTCACAGTTAAGAATTGGCAGCTTTAAGTACAGCTTGACAATGGATACAGCTTATTTCCTGAGCAATTAGTTGGCAGACAGCCCCTGTGAGTGCTGTAGCAGAGTGTTCCTTTAGTCTGGGAACTCTAATGGGCAGGAGGAAACCTGTGTCTAAATGCTCAGATTTTCTTTCACTATAACAATTATTTTTTCCCAATTAAAAAAAAGAAAAGGAGAGAGAAAGAAAAGAAAAAGAGACAGGTGATGATGAGAGCTTTAGAGATCAGTGAGGCATCAAAAAGCACACAACAACTGCAGAATGATTCTTCCTGGAGAGAATATAGAACATCCTTCTAAACTGACTGCTCATCTTTTATTTTATTTGCAAAGGATCAGATAAACGTGAGCTAAAACACCTTATGTTTTAATCAGTGACCTGATGAAGAATGTCTTGCCTTTATCCCACCCAGGCAGTTGGTCCCTAGAAGGATCCTTGCTTTTACAGTGCATTAGACATTTGCTCTCATGAAATTAGCTTTGAAAGGATGAAATTGCCTCTGAAACCCTTCATAATACAGGTTTTATACTTAATTGGATATTCATGCTGTCTGCCAGAGATGTAGCATTTCTCTTGCCTGTAAAGCCCAGTTTGCTAAATCTTACTGCTTTTAGTAAATCAGTTTCCAAACTTTGCCACTAACTAAAAGTTTTATTTCTTCCTCTTACCTTCAGCACTAGCCTTTCAGTTAAGAAAGGCCTGGGTGTCTTCTGCCTGTGGGAAAGCAATGTTGGTAGCCAAAATTATTCAGCTTTGCTTGCTTATGGCAAGGAGAGGTCAGTCTTTTTTTTTTTTTTTTTCCCAGCCTTCCCCAGCTCCCTTAGGTTGGGATCCTCAGTTTGCTAGCATGCTCTCCTTTCATTCTGTTTGTTCTCCTTTTCCTCAGCTGTTTTTTGGCTGCTATCACGGCTAAGGCCAGTAAACAACTCATTGTGAAGCTGGAGCTAATGCTTTTTCTTGGACCGGTGGCGGGTGATACAGCACAGCGAAAAACAGCATTCTCTGTCTCGCGCCTGCAGACTGTGTGTCACTTCTGCACCATGCCCAGCTGCCATGGGCTTTTATCCAGTTGACTCAAATAACTTCCTGAATCTCATCTATAGCAGCTTTAACTCTCTCAGACACAGACTTTAAGGTAGTACTTTTTGCCTTGAACACAGATGTATTTCACCCTCAGAGGATTCACTTGGCGTCCTTTTACAGCATAAAAAGGTCTACATAGGTTTGATGAACCTGCAAATGCTTCTAGCGAGGCGTTGGCAATCCCTGGCACGTATACCAGAGAGTGGCATGAGGCCATTTTGCTCGGCGTGCTGCAGCGGGCCCAGGCTCTGGGCAGCTGCTGCTGGCCATGGAGCCCAGGCTACTTGCAGCAGGTAGCGAGAAGGCTGTAAGTCATGCTGCGAGCAGCCCAGGCTCCATGGCTGGCAGCAGCTGCCCAAAACCCAGTCAAGCTGTGGCAGACAGCTGGGAGGCTGCAAACAACTGCACTGGGGTCTGGAGCAGTACATGCAGCATACATGCAGCTGCTGCCATGGAGCTGGCAGCAGCTGCGTGTATGCCTCAGGGAGAATGGTGGGAAAGGAGCTGGGAAAGCACAACCCTGGCCCCTCTCCAGTTGTCCACCCAGAGGCACATGTGCACCCACTGCCAGCAATGAGGATTGGGCCCCTCACACCTTCCTCTCCATCTGCCCCTGCCATACCAAGTCAGGCATGGGTCAAGGTTGGGGTGTTTTTGGTACTCCAGCCAAAAAACCTTGCCGACCCCTGTTCTAGCTGTTAAGTGAAAATGGATGCATTTCCCCTTTCTTAGCTGGTATTTAAAGGTAAATGAGAATATAGGTGAGATGTAAATATATGGCTGAGGCAATAGCAGAAGCTTTAACTTACAGCACAGCTCTCAAAAGTTCCCGAGGTGTGTTCCATTCTGAAAGGGGATGAGGGAGGGTGCAGCCTAGATCTGGCCTTGATTATGAGTATCAGAGTGGGGAGGCACTTGAAAGCCAAAGTCCACCATCCCAGACCAGAGCAAGTCATCCTTCCACATAGACCAGTGTGGTGCTATGCTGGGAGCTGTGTGCAGCCCCCAGCAGATGTTAAATGGGATGAAAGGATGAAGGGCACAAGCAGAGTAAAATTTGTCTTCCTGTCCTGGAAACCAGCCATGGAGCCCAGGCTACTTGCAGCAGGTAGCGAGAAGGCTGTAAGTCATGCTGCGAGCAGCCCAGGCTCCATGGCTGGCAGCAGCTGCCCAAAACCCAGTCAAGCTGTGGCAGACAGCTGGGAGGCTGCAAACAACTGCACTGGGGTCTGGAGCAGTACATGCAGCATACATGCAGCTGCTGCCATGGAGCTGGCAGCAGCTGCGTGTATGCCTCAGGGAGAATGGTGGGAAAGGAGCTGGGAAAGCACAACCCTGGCCCCTCTCCAGTTGTCCACCCAGAGGCACATGTGCACCCACTGCCAGCAATGAGGATTGGGCCCCTCACACCTTCCTCTCCATCTGCCCCTGCCATACCAAGTCAGGCATGGGTCAAGGTTGGGGTGTTTTTGGTACTCCAGCCAAAAAACCTTGCCGACCCCTGTTCTAGCTGTTAAGTGAAAATGGATGCATTTCCCCTTTCTTAGCTGGTATTTAAAGGTAAATGAGAATATAGGTGAGATGTAAATATATGGCTGAGGCAATAGCAGAAGCTTTAACTTACAGCACAGCTCTCAAAAGTTCCCGAGGTGTGTTCCATTCTGAAAGGGGATGAGGGAGGGTGCAGCCTAGATCTGGCCTTGATTATGAGTATCAGAGTGGGGAGGCACTTGAAAGCCAAAGTCCACCATCCCAGACCAGAGCAAGTCATCCTTCCACATAGACCAGTGTGGTGCTATGCTGGGAGCTGTGTGCAGCCCCCAGCAGATGTTAAATGGGATGAAAGGATGAAGGGCACAAGCAGAGTAAAATTTGTCTTCCTGTCCTGGAAACCAATATGAATAAGTTCATTCCAGCCTTGTTACATCTTTTGTCCCTTGATTCCATTGTGGAGTTTAATTTGTTCTTTGTCCAAAAAATAATAATAGTACGACAGATCATTCTTAGGCAGTGATTTGAATGTCACAGGAAGAAGTTAATTAGTCATAAAATTTGACTGTGAAGTCTTTCTGATGATTTTTAAGGTAATAAATGTTGAATTTGAAGGTGGTTGTACTGCAAGGGCAATGCAGAGCAACCTAAGCATACGCAACCCCTTTGTGAATTTGGGGTCCCATTTACAAAGTCACTGGCTGTCAGTCACTAACTGAGGTGTTCAGAATTCATATATTTCTGTCAAATCTGAAATATTTCCCTGTTACCTTTTGATGAAGAAACATGGGATAAAGTTTAAAAAATGAAGAAAGTAAGAAAAGGAGATGGGTGGACAGAAGGACTATGCTGATTACCATATATTACTTAGCCAGAGGATGGCAACTTTGCTGTCTTTGATACCTCTAGAATTTAATCAGGCTGGAAACTGAACTAAAAGAACCTCTGAGCTCATTTACCTCCAGGTTCATCATCATCTGTTGCTATGTTCTGGATTCTCACAGGATTGTAAGAGCTAGCCTTTCCCTGTGGAAATGTTTGCTATTGTCACAAATGTTCCCAGGGAGGCTCCTCCCTGGCTCTGTCACAGTTTCTTTTCACAAATGCATACACACATGTGTTTTGCTTCCATCCTTTCCCATTTCAGATTAAACATGCTGGAATTCTGTGCTACCCTATCGACACACTCAGTATATTTTTCAGAAACGCAGTATAAACATTTCCAGCAAAGTGCGTTTAAGCTAGATTTATTTGCCAAACAAAAAAGGGAGGTTGGTTCCTTCCCTCCTTGGTTGCAGTTACGGGAAGTGTTTTCTTTCAATTGGAAAAACAAATGACTAGATTCCCTGGTTCCTCACCTCTTTCTGCAGCAACTTACCCCCTGGCCCCACCCAGATCCCAGAGGGTTTATCACAGACTTGGGCGAGGGTGGAATTTTGCGGGCACTCCTTGTTAAAATATTGGCAGTACATCACTAATCTTTGGAAAATATGGGAAACTGGACGGTTATCTTCCCAAGACCCATAGCTACTGGAGATGCCTAGCATTTTTCAACAATAGTATCTCCATCTTTTTATAGCACACAGACTTCGTGCTTGTACAATGAAGCCAAACAAATACGTTCCTTTCCTGATGTGTTCCTAGCTAGGGTCACATCCATTGTGTCAACAGTTTAACTTCTAAGAGTCACGCACTGCCCTTATACTGGCTCATGAAGAGTTGTTCCTGTGTCTGAAGGCAAATCTTACATCCAAGAATAGAACATAGTTTCCAATTATCATTTATTCCTGTTGCAAAGAACTCAGTTGATTCCATCAGGACTGATGCCTCGTTCCTATTAAGCACACAGGAAAATGTGGTCCCTGCCTTTCATAGGAAGGATTTCTATTTCCTTTCCTAGTTTTTGGACCAAACCAGATGTAGTTTGTCTCTCGGTGACTGGCTACTGCACAAGTCATTGCTTGCTATTGCCACAGCTGCCATATATCCTGCCATATGAGGGCCCCAGTTGGTAATAATCCCTGACTGCACTAAGCCATGCACAAGTCTTAAGAGCAGAAGTCAAAACACCATTTGCCTCTAGAGTTGTTGTCATAAAGCACATGATTTTTGTAATCAATATTAAATTATTGTTAAATATCTGTATTTCAATAGCTCCCCAAGGATCCATTCAGAATTGGGACCCTATTTTGCTAAATGCCAAATGTAAAATCAAAACTAAAGCTAGACTCTCATGGTGCATTTACAAGTGAAGGAGACATGGACAAAGGGTGGAGGAGAGGGCAATGAAAATACACACTGAATATATACTAGTGGAAGTGACAGCAGCCCCTAACACTTGTTATTAATTCACTGCTTTAATTAGTTTAGCTTTGTTGTTAAATACTGACTCTGTCCAACTGGATTTTACCTGCCTGCCCCTAACTTGCTTAGCTTAACCATAAAGATGACTGGTAAGAATCAGGGCAAAGTGAGCCTGAAGGAAGGATGTGAAGGAACAGAGTATAGTCATATATATCAGTACAGAGAGAATGTGCCAAATCACCCAGTCCATCAGGGTGG